GGGATCTCATTGTTAAAAGGTATCAATTAGGAGAAGGGTACAAAAGAATTTCCAAGGCATTCGATATACCATGGAACACAGTGAAGACAGTCATCAAGTGGAGAAAATATGGCGTAATAGCGACATTACCAAGAACTGGACGTCCCTCCAAAATTGATGAAAAGACGAGAAGAAAACTGGTCTGGGATGCTGCCAAGAAGCCTAGAGCAACATTAAAGGAGCTGCAGGAATATCTGGCAAGTACTGGCTGTGTGGTACATGTGACAATCTCCCATATTCTTCATATGTCTGGGCTATGGGGTAGAGTGGCAAGACAGAAGCCTTTTCTTACGAAGAAAAACATCCAAGTCCGGCTAAATTTTGCAAAAACACATCTGAAGTCTCCCAAAAGCACGTGGGAAAATGTGTTATGGTCTGATGGAACCAAGGTTGAACTTTTTGGCCATAATTCCAAAAGATATGTTTGGTGCAAAAACAACACTGCACATCACCAAAAGAACACCATACCCACAGTGAAGCATGGTGGTGGCAGCATCATTTTTTGGGGCTGTTTTTCTTCAGCTGGAACTGGGGCCTTAGTCAAGGTAGAGGGAATTATGAACAGTTCCAAATACCAGTCAATATTGGCACAAAACCTTCAGGCTTCTGCTAGAAAGCTGAAAAAGGAAGAGGAACTTCATCTTTCAGCATGACAACGACCCAAAGTATATATCCAAATCAACAAAAGAATGGTTTCACCAGATTAAAGTTTTGGAATGGCCCAGCCGAAGCCCAAACCTGAATCCGATTGAAAATCTGTGGGGTTATCTGAAGAGGGCTGTGCACAGGAGATTCCCTCACAGTCTGACAGATTTGGAGTGTTTTTGCAAGGAAGAGCGGGCAAATATTGCCAAGTCCAGATGTGCCATGCTGATAGACAAATACCCAGAAGACTGAGTGCTGTAATAAAATCAAAGGGTGCTTCAAAAAAGTATTCGTCTAAGGGTGTGCACACCAATGCAACCATACTATTTTAGTGTTTAGTTTTACTTCCATCTACCTATAAGATTTCAGTTTGTTGTTCAACTGAGTTGTACAATTTATAGGTCACATTAAAGTTGGAAAATTCTGAAATGATTTATCTTTGTCATGTTTTTACATCACAGAAACCTGACTTTTTAACGGGTGTGTAGAATTTTTATATCCATTGTAACGGACTATATAAAATAAAGCTTACAGTATATCAGATATACTAAAAATTAACAAACCTTGATAATAAAAACTCTGTGCTTGTGTAATAGTGAATAAAGTCTCGCGGTATCCACCAAGTTCAAACAGTGAGATTACACTATAATAACCAATTCAAACAGTGATGTCAGGATCCCCAGCTGGATATTTTTCTGTCACCAAATAAGAACAGTAGGCTTACCAGAGAAACCTGACTCATGTTATTGAGAGGACATGGTACTCAATATTGTTATGGAAATGGTTCCAATGCACCTTCCATGCGCCAACTTGGCACCAGCGGGGTAAAAATCACCTCAAACTCCCATCTCCGATTACCATTCAATGAATGCGCGCACGTCAGAGAAAAAAAGATCAAACTCTTAACATAGTATAAAAGCTGATAGGCTGATTTATTAAAACTACATGCACTTACGTATGTATACTGGTTTTAAAATTAACTGCACTGTTAAAAAAAAAAAACAAAAAAAAACCTCTAACGGCTCACTTCACTTCTGGCGACACTTCTAGGAATGTGATGATGTCACAGTACTATAGCTCCCTCTGGCGCGTTTCGTCGTAAATTACATTTTCTGGGACACTGAGGAACTGGGGGCTGAAACTCACATGTTAAAATGCCTGCAGCCTGCGGCTTCTTTATGTGATAAACTTACTGATATTTGGGTATGAAAGAGCCTACCATTGACTACACTGCAGCAGCAACACTGAGATGTGAACAGTCCCATTTCCAAGTGTAGTCAGGAGTTTAAATGCACATTCCAGTACTGAAGAATGCATCAGTGGAAACAAGCCTTTAAGTGTACCAGATCATCACACTTTTCCACAACCTAACCTCCTCGTAGTGACTTAATACAAAGGATTTAAAGGATAAAGGAGAAGAAGCCAACTTTGTAGAGAGGTGGGGCCTAATTTCCAGTCTTCTAACATAAATGAATCCTTTCTAGTTTGAAAAAAAAAAAGAGAGGAGACCATTGCTTACCCTTCTTGACTTTCTCTTTGCAGATTATTTCCTCCAAGACTATTATTAAGCATGGGTGCATGGAAAATACCTATGTGCACAGAGGCTTTAAACAGTAGGATTTTAACCATTTGCCAGGGTTGAACAATGTCACCAGAGAAGGGAGATCTGGCTGTTAATGCTGTGTAAGCTCTGGTATGATCAGACATGAGGATTACTTACAGTAGAGTAGCACGAGGAAAGGCAGTATCAGTATGGGGTTGTTACAAGAGAACCTTTCACTGGAATGGACAAAGTTGCAGAGTCTCTTTAAAACAAAACTTTACCCATAACAGCTTTGATAAAAAAATTATGTTGTTGAGCAAGGAACAAGCATTCCACATGAATAATTATGCTACCAAAATTTTGTGTGTGCAGTAGATTGTCTCCTGCGTTGTTTCTGCTTCTTCTTGCTGGAGGCTTCCATTTTGTTGAAGCCCAGAGCCCCTGTGCAGCAGTAAATCTTTGGGCAACCAGCAGATCAGCCTCTACATTTTTGGCCTTGTGCCAAAAAATTGCAGCCGGGCATGTGCAGAGCAGGGTGAGACAGTGTAATACTAGATTTGAAACAGTATAAGCACTTAATTTTTAAGAAGTATGGGAATATAAAAAATTTAAAAATATACTCGCCTAGATTATTATTATTATACAGTATTTATAAAGCGCCAATAGTTCGCTCAGCGCTGTACATTACAAAGGGGAACAGAACATGTGACAGAACAATACCAATACAATGCAAAACATGAGGGGATTGAGGGCCCTGCTCTTTCGAGCTTACAATCTAGGAGGGAGGGGATGGTGGCACAGGAGGAGATAGCTGTGGGGGATGGAGTGGTAGGAAGAGTGGAGGAGGTCGGCAAGTTAGCAGGGGGTGGGGTAGGTTTCCCTGAAGAGATGGGTTTTCAGGGTGCGCCTGAAGGAGAGGAGAGTAGGTGATAATCTGATGGGTTGGGGCAGGGAGTTCCAGAGGATGGGTGACACCCTTGAGAAGTCCTGGAGGCGGGCGTAGGAGGAGGAGACCAGGGAACTAGAGAGAAGGAGGTCTTGTGAGGAGCGGAGTGTGCGTGCTGGGCGGGGGTACTTCGATATTAGGTCAGTGATGTAGTTCGGGGCAGTATGGTGGACAGCTTTGTACGCAGTGTTAGGATTTTGAATTTGATCCGTTGCGCAATCGGAAGCCAGTGGAGGGATTGGCAGAGGGGGGTGGTGGAAACGGAGCAGTTGGAAAGGTGAATGAGTCTGGCAGCCGTATTCAGGATCGACTGAAGCGGGGGATAGCCAGCGGCGAGGCAGGCCAGTGAGGAGGGAGTTGCAGTAGTTGAGTCGTGATATGATGAGGGAGTGGATGAGCTGTTTAGTGGTTTCTGGGGTTAGGAACGTGCGGATTTTGGCGATGTTGCGGAGGTGGAGTCTGCACAAGTTTGTTAAAGATTGGACTTGGGGCTGGAAGGATAGGTTGGAGTCCAGAATGACACCAAGTACTCTGGCCTGCGGGGCGGGTTTGATGGTGGCGTTGTTGGATGTGATGGAGAAGTCAGTGGGGGGTGGGGTTCGGGCTGGGGGGAAGACAAGAAACTCGGTTTTGGAGAGGTTCAGTTAAAGGAAGTGGAGCGACATCCAGTCTGATATGTCGCTCAGTAGGTGTGTGATTCAGGCAGAGATCGAGGGGGTGAGGTAGGGGGTTGAGAGATAGATTTGTGTGTCGTCGGCATAGAGGTGGTAGTTGAAGCCGTGAGAGTGTATGAGTTGGCCAAGGGAGGAGGTGTAGATGGAGAAGAGAAGGGGCCCGAGGACAGAGCCTTGAGGGACCCCAACAGAGAGGGGGGAGTGAGGGGGAGGTGGTAGGTGGCTGCAGCACCGATCCCAGCTGCAGCTTCTAAGACTGAGAACTGAGCAATCAATGACTGTTCATCGCTCAGTTCTCAGCCTTCACTGAGCAGGGATCAGTGACTGTCAATCGCCAGCTCTTGCTATGCTCCTCCAGTGCTCACCAAAGTGCCAGGCTGTGGAGGGGGCAGGAGCAGCTGTCTCGTCTCTCAGCAGCTCACTGAGAATCTGAGCCAGCTGTTGGTCCAGGCAACGGGGTTGATCCCGATTTTAACGTGGGGCTCTTTACCGAGGCTTTAGCCCACTGTCAGCTGAAAACGGGTTACAGGAGCAAAGTGTACTCCTGTGATCCCTAGGAGAAGTATAGCCAAAACTGCTTTGGCTATACTTTTAGGGCCAGTTCACAAAAAACATACTCTGGATACATTCTGGGTACGCTTTTGCTTACAGTTCAAACCACGCTCCGTTCCTGTGCAGTTTTGATGCCATTTGCTATGTTCCAGTACAGTTCTGTGCAGAAAAAATGCAACATGTTCTACTTTTTTTTATTTTTTTTCTCTGAACCAATAACTGTTTGGAACTGACTGCACTGGTGTGAACTAGGGACTTTGGAATACATGGAAAATGCTGTGCATGCACTTTTGATGCAGAAAAAAAAAAACACACTGGACTGCATTTGATGTGAACTAGCCCTTAATGTTTTACCTAGCTAAAGGGGGCCAACCTGAAATGATCTTGATGGGAACAAGTGTGCATGTCTGTAGTAAGAGATTAAAGTTAGTCTTTGAATACTTGTTCTGGGTTAGGCAGTCATAATATTAAAAACTATGTGCTCAATATTACAGCCATGGAACTAGGATTTGGCAATCGATGCCCCGTATTTCACTAGAGACATGTTTCCTCACTGTTCCTTCTAAAATCTGTAATGAAACCTTTTTCTTTGTTTCTATAGGTTACGTGGATCCAATTCAGACACTGAACGATGTAATAGCTCAGCTAGATGCCATTGTCAGCTTTGCCTTTGTTTCTAATGGAGCGCCAGTACCATATGTTCGTCCTATCATCCTGGAAAAGGGACAGGGACGTATAGTGCTGAAATCTGCCAGACACCCATGTATTGAAGTGCAGGATGATGTGGCGTTCATTCCCAATGACATAACATTCGAGAAGGAGAAACAGATGTTCCATATTATCACTGGTAAGCTGTCAGCTTCTCCAGATTTCCATTCCACAACCTTCCAATTAGCAGTAAGCTTCAGTTCAATATAACCTTGCCAAAACATTGTCTTGGATTTATTGTCTGTTTCAAAGTGGAGCAAAGTGAATGTGTTCCATCATGTCCCAGGGCTACATTTACCAATTATGTGAAAGGAGCTATTATATCTGCTTTCAGATAGAACGTTTATTTTTAAATGTTTCAAATTCCTGACACCCCAAGTAGTATACAGTTATCTAAAACTTTTATTTTGGTTAGGGTCATAACCCATGTTAGGTGTTTTTTTTTTTTTTTTTTTTTTTTTTTTTTTTTAATCTGTGCCCCTTTGGGGAGATTTCCATTCACTTCCTGCCCTACAGTCAAAACAGGAAGTGAGAGGAAATCCCTCCAAAGTAAACCGAATCCTGGTTGTCACCAGAGCCCATTTAAAGATTTCCCCGCTATTCCTCTTCTGCAGACATCCCAAACTTTTCTTTTAAGTTTTACTTTTCTTTTAAGTTTTACTCATAGGGATAACGATAAACAGGGCAAAAATAGTTTTTCTTTTAGTTCTAGTTTTAGTTCTAAACCTTGATAACAGTTGGTCCCCTGTCCGAAGAGACTACCTTTGGTAAGTACATGGGTGTGCTCATTGGGGGGGCGGGGGTAAGGTTAGGGAGACTGCTTTTGTAAACTTGACTGAGGCCTGCTACCTGTTTTCCAGCAAAGAAAATGCCAATGTGCGTTTTGGCCATACAATAATTTGGAAATGATTATCCTTCAATAAAAATTTTGCTAGAGCTGGCCATACATGTTGGTCTGATTGAACAGTCTTTTAGATTTGTCATAAACCATATTTAGGCTTCCATTCCATTTTTATTCCGGAATTTATTTTGTAACTCAGTAGAACAATGGTCCCATATGCTGCCCCTTTTGGGCGTTATTCATCTCACTGACACCAATGATGAGGCACTATTTCTTCCAATAGAACCAATGATGAGGGCCTATTCTCCCACTGACACAAGCGATGGGGCACTATTCTTTCCATCCGTGATGGAACATGATTTCTTCCACTAAAAACCAAAGATTGGCACTATTTCCCTTCCACTAACACAAGTGATGGGGCATGTGTCCTCCCTCTGACACCAACAATGGGGCATAATTTTCCCTCTTGCACCGTTAATAGGACAAAATCTCTCTCAAGGGCACCCTTGATGGGGCATAATTTTTCCCACTGAAATGAACAATAAGGCATGGGTCCTCCGACTGACACCAAAGGTGAAGTGCTTTTACTGATACAAGTGATGGGGCATAATTAATCCCACTGATGCTGTTGATGAGATGTTCCCATGCCAGCATCCAATTGTCTATTGGTAATCGCAGCTGCACAGACACAGCCGCTGTGTCCCAATATGACATGTGGATGCAGGTCCTCGAACTCTCCCTGTGAAGGTTCGGGGACCTACACACGCACGTGTCATTTTGGAACACAGTGGCTGTATCCGTGTAGCAATAGGCAATGAATTGGATGCTGGCATGGGGATGCAAGCAGATCCCTCAACGGGGATGTCACCAGAGTTGGATACAGTTTATCTGTTTTTGTTAGTGATTCTAAAGGTTTTTTTATTTTTTTTTGTAGAATAACAAACGTGTATACTTACCTGCTGTGTGCAGTGGTTTTGCATAGAGCAGCCTGGATCCTCCTCTTCTCGGGTCCCCCGCAGGCTCTCCTGGCTCCTCCTTTCTGTTGGATGCCCCACAGCAAGCAGCTTGCTATGGGGGCCACCGCTGCTCCGTGTGTCCATTCACACATGGAGCCATGGCTTGGCCCCACCCCTCTCTCCTCATTGGCTGACTGGCTGTCTCAGGCAACACGGGACAGCTGAGGCTGTCTTCCACATTGCTGGATCTTGATAGGGCTCAGGTAAGGATTGAGGGGACTGGGGGCACTGCTACACACAGAAGGTTTTTTTACCTTCATGCATAGAATACATGAAGGAAAAAACCTTGAGACTTTACAACCACTTTAACTTTTTAATCAAATCTTGTACTGGTGGTGGTAGTTGTGTCCTATAGGGTAGTAGGGGTGAGTTTACCACATTATATTTTATTGTAAACACTTCCAATGGAACAATGGGGATACTTCAGAAGTACAGAAGATGGATACCGTTTTTAAGATTTATTTTTGGAGAACAAAATTTCTGGCATTTTTGTTATTTTTGGAAATAAGAATAAGGTTCCAATAGTTTTCAGCCTGCTACATTAGGTTCTTGACAGCTATTTATGCACAATGGGGGTTATTTACTAAAACTGGAGAATTCAAAACCTTTTGCAGGTGTGTATGGTAGCCAATCGGCTTCCAGCTTCAGCTTGTTCAATTAAGCTTTGACCAGAAAAAAAAAACCTGGAAGCTGATTGGTTTCTATGCAGAACTGCAACAGATTTTGCACTCCAGTTTTAGTAAATCAACCCCCATGTCTTTTCATTTAGCTGTAATACATCCACATCCATCAGCAATTAGAATCCTTACTCCGATCGGGATTCCATTTTGGAAATTGTCAGTTTAGGCCCTGTGGCTCGCTATCAAAAACCGGATATCGTATGTACTCTCCAGCGCCTCAGGATATGCACAGCCAAAAGGGAAGCCAAGGGAACCAGGACAGCGACTACCAAAGGAAATGCTTCCAGGGTGCAGCCCTCCTCAGACGGGGAGATCAGCCACTGGATAGAGAGAAAACAGGTGGCGCACACACCTAGTGCATTATCCAAGGTTTATTGAAAGGAGTGGAAAATAAAAACATACAGACAAAGCATGTATCTAAAAAGCATTTGCATAATGACGATGGCCACAACGGCAAGCAAGGTGTTCCAACTGTCAGTGCGGTCAAATGGCTGATGCGTTTCAGGGACAAATCCCTGTCCTCAGAGCTTACTGACCAGCAAGGCCCCATCATCCATCCACTACACCTCTGCATCAGAGGCTGGTCACGCTATCAAAAAGACCACATAACCTAAAGATAGTATACAAGTTTTAGTCCTGACTTTAGTAAGCCAAAGTTACCCCTAGAGGTACCCAGCTAATAAAATTGAGTTTACTTTGATCTGTCAGATACATCGTTTCAAACACATTTGGTGTAGTTTAAAGAATTTCCTTTACCCCCACCTGCAATAAGGGAAGAATAGTTTTCGTATTTTTATCTGATCCTTTGCATACTGTAAATAATGAGCAATTGCAAATAGACCTACACATTTCAGGTGACATGACTTTAGCAATAGCTGGTTTGATTGATAGAAGCATTACAATAATGAGAGAGACTATGCCCTCTTCATGGTGCCTCAGATTTAATCAAATGAAAATTTTGTTTCAAGTTATTCTGACAACCGGTCCCTGTTGTGTCTGGGAAGCTGCTCTAATCCACATTGCATTTGGCTTCCAGTCAGACTAAGGATTTGTGTCAGTCTGAGATATATGCTGAGTTGTAAAAGTTTTCTAATTTCCTAATATCAAAAACGTATGTCCGAAGCCAAAAGCATATTACTTTTGAATAGCTTAGGTAATAATTACAACATCTGTCAGGTTTCATTCTGGGCACACACACTGTTCTGGTGACAATGATGGGATCCTTAAATGCTGCCATCAAAACAGGAGATGCAGAGAAATTGTCCAATGGACACATCTGTTTAACCACTTGCTGTCTGGGGCAATTTTTTAAGTTTTCACAAATTTAAAAATCTAGAAAATGGCTTAGAACCCCCAAACATGTTTTATGAAAGAGACCCTAGAGAATAAAGTAGGTGCTGTCTGCTGGAATTTTGTATGTCATATGACATTTGTGAAGACGTTTGTCAAATGCAAATTTTCAGGAATTATAGTGCACACAAACAATACCTGTTGTTTTGTAAAATATAAAAGATGTATTAAGTAAGTAGATACCAAATACTGTACATAGGGATGGGGTATCAGTACTCATATAGGGGTATCAATGATTTCAGTATTTGTACATTTGGTTTCAGTGGATGTAAAGGGGGTATGAATGACTTTCAGAGGTCAGTAGTAAGTGGTGTGGAGTTCAGAGGTCAGTAGTGAGTGATCAGTAGTAAGAGAGGCAGAGTTTAGAGATCAGTAGTGAGAGGCGGAGTTCAGCGGTCAGTAGTAAGAGAGGCGGAGTTCAGAGATCAGTAGTAGGAAAGGCAGGAGTTCAGAGACCATAGGTAGGAAAGGCGGAGTTCAGAGACCAGCAGTAGGAGAGGCGGAGTTCAGAGACCAGCAGTAGGAGAGGCGGAGTTCAGAGACCAGCAGTAGGAGAGGCGGAGTTCAGAGACCAGCAGTAGGAGAGGCGGAGTTCAGAGACCAGCAGCAGGAGAGGCGGAGTTCAGAGACCAGTAGTAGGAGAGGCGGAGTTCAGAGACCAGTAGTAAGAGGGACACGGGAAGGGCTTCCCAGCATAAATTCTACCCCCAACCCCTCTTTATAGCAAAAATCCACTTAAACCCTCCTTTCCAAGCTCACATAAATTCAGCATAAATTCAGAGACCTCGGGCAGTGCCCGAGGTCCCAGGGTCAGTAGGGGGCCACATAAAATGCCCCTGGCACCTTTTTATAGGCTTTTTGGGTGTGCTTTGAGTGTGGGCAAGGACACAGGGGCCCCATGATCCCCACTTGCCCAGGGGCCCTATGAGTTGTCAGTCCACCCCTGTTCTAAAGGCTTTTTTTTTTTAAATAAACATGTCTGTACTTACCTGCTGTGTGCAGTGGTTTTGCACCGAGCAGCCCGGATCCTCCTTTTCTCTGGTCCCTCACACATACTCCTGGCCCCTCCCTCCTGTATGGTGCCCCCGCAGCAGCTTGCTATGGGGCCTCCTGCTGCTCCATGTATACATTCCAACACATGATTTTAGCATGTAATTAATTTTTAAATATATTTTTGTATAATAAAATACAGGCGTACCTCGGTTTACGAACGCCTCGGTTAACGTAATTTTCGGTTTATGAATGAAAATCCATTGAAAATAATGCCTCAGTTTACTAATTTTTTTCGCAATACGAAGTGTACATCAGTGCCGATTTTTAAATGTAATTGTCGCCTTCTTTTTTTCTTCACTATAGCTCACAGAATTAGCTGTCACTTTCCCCGGAGCTAAAGTATACTTTGTCTCTTTTATCAAACAAACTAAAAGGTGACATTGTTTCTTTTAACTGAATAAACTAAAAGGAAACTTTCTTTCTTTTAGCTGGGGGGAAAGCAACAGCTGATTGATTAGTGAAGCTATACTGAGCTATAGTGAAGAAAAAAAAAAAGCTGGTAATTACATTTAAAAACCGGCACTGACCTATTGCGACAGCGTTTTTTTTTTTTTTTTTTTACTTTTTTTCTGACCTCTGGAACAGATTAATTGGTTTTCAATGCATTACTATGGTAAGCCGTGTTTCGGTTTACGAATTTTTCACAATATGAAATGTCCCAGAGAACGCATTACATTCGTAAACCAAGGTACACCTGTATGAGTTTTTTCTATCAATACTTTTGTGATGTTTTGTTAGCTGCATGAAAGTCCCAAGGGGGTAATTTTTTTTTGGATTTAATTTAATATTGGGGACGAGCAGCCAGATAATCCATCTTTCTCTATTAAAAAAGTGTCCTAGCATATGTAGTAGAATTGATTTTGTCTTAAGGCAAGAGTGGACATGACGATTTTTTTTTTTGTTTTTCTTTCTGTTTACTCTTTTTGTAGATTAATTGATCACTACAACTATTCAGTGCATTATTTTTGAAAGCATCCTTTCAAGCATTAGTTCTTTACAGCACTTTTTTAAAAAGTGCCTAAAATATTTGCACAGTAGTTAGTGTATATAGCGATTTTTTTTTTTTTTTCATATTTTCTTATGGAGAGGATGAAAAAAAAAAGTCCACATTTTGATGACGTTCATTCAGGTGAATATACAATGTTGCATATAAAACGTATACTTTTATCCAACCAGTAGGTGGAGCTCTGAGCTCCACCTGTTATTTACAATAGTAAAGTGAGCGAGTGTGCAGGATCATTCGTCCCTTATCAGATGGGTCAGTCCCAGGTTTCTGTGAGAGATTGTTCTTGAAAGGTAGCAACATGTTCTGTACTGTCTTTTGATATCAAAGGGGTTTAACTGGTTATTCATAAGTTTTATTAACGATAAGTCTTCCCACTGTTTCCATTTTAGGTCCTAATATGGGTGGAAAGTCCACTTATATCCGCCAAACTGGAGTAATAGTCCTCATGGCCCAGATTGGATGCTTTGTACCATGTGACTTTGCGGAGGTGAGCATTGTGGATTGCATTCTTGCTCGAGTTGGAGCTGGGGACAGTCAGCTCAAGGGAGTGTCAACCTTCATGGCTGAGATGTTGGAGACGGCTTCGATCCTCAGGTATTGTTCCCCCCGGGTCTATTCAGTGTGATGACATCTCAGACATTTGTTGGCCTGTATGTTGTGTTCTTGCTGCAACATTAGGAAAGCAGTGTGCTCTCTGGAATAATGGAGCAGGAGAAAAATTAAACCACAGAAACACGTATGGAGAAACATTCACAACGTACTGTTTAGGACAATGGTTTATTATTATTTTTATTTTTAGTGTTACTAAATTCACAACAGTAAAATCAGTCTGTATGTGCAGTTAAGAATGCTTGTTCTACTCACTGTGAAATCTAAAGGGTTAATCCTCGGCATTGTGTAAAAAAGGCTGTTTGATCCTGACTTCTCTGATCCTCCCCTTCTTCTACTGTCCCCCATCCATCCGCTGATAAAAAGAGAGGTTCCTCTCACAAGCTGAGTTGGAGATTGTGACCTCATCCGCCTGCCTCAGCAAATCAGAGGAAGCTTTGCATTCATCAAATACAAAGTGTCCTGTGAATGGCGGAGTGGCACTCAGCCTGACTCTAGTTTGTTCTGGGACTGGCGGTCCCCATCCAACTGCTGGAACACAGCACTGTATACTGTAGCTGAGCTGATGAGGCCAGCAAGTGCAGTAAATAGTTTGCCCAAACTATTTAAACATGGTGTTAGGCTTTAACCTCCCTGGCGGTATGATCATGTCAGGAATTTTGTGCTGAAAGCGGTACCATTTTTTTGCATGGAAATATGTAGTTTTTAATTGTAGGCTGTAATTTTTAGGAATAACTCACTGAAATCTATCCGAAAAAGAGTCTATTAAACATTCCGGATATGATAAAACTTGAAACACGAAATCATAAATTATAATTTAATAAATAATCATAAAAAAATAATAATAATAAATTTAATTTTCAATAATATAATCAAACCAAAAACACTGAAATTTGAAATACAGAGGCAAATTCGCACATCGCTGAGCAAAGTCGCAAAATCGTTTTCAGTGTCTGATGACGAATTTCCCCACAAATCATTATCACTCAATTCTGCAAGTGGTTCTGATTTACTATCGCTGTTCTAAAACCGCTTTTGACGTAAAGGGATGCTTTTTGGCCGCCATGGACTTTTCAAGTTTCCAGGCAGAAAGAACAGTCAAAATGCAGGCAGGGCGCAGGACAAAGCACTCGGGACAAAATGTATGTGAAATGCATTGAAACAGCAATGACAGCAAAAATGTCATTTTTTAAAAATTTCAAATTTCCCGCCGGTTCCGCCGCCCGAACGTTCCGACGTCACAGGGACCGGAACACGGAAGCCGGATGCCGGCATCCGCCGGAGGAGATGGCCGGGGACGCTGCAGGGGACACATCGCGGGAGCGAAGGACAAGGTAAGTGCTGCAGGGACCCCCAGAGAACGCTGCATGGTAACCCCGAGTGTAGCTCGGGGTTACCGTTCTTGGTATAGAAATTCTACCCCGAGCTACACTCGGGAAACACCGCCAAGGAGGTTAAGCGGTTAACCTGGAGTTTCACTGTAGAACATTGGTCCTTTTATGACATTTTTGAAGGGGCTTCCGGGACATGTATTAAAGTTTTAATCAGGGTGGATTTGATTTAAATCAAACTGATTTAAATCATCGATTTAAATCACTAGTCAGTAAGGCTTGATTTAAATCCTAGTTTTCTACATAAAGACTAATTCTTGCTGGTATAACTTTAATATACAAGTAGATGAAGATTTTTAGAATAACAACTTTTCATATTAGTTTTTTTATCCCCAGTTTAATAGGTTAATCATTCATATTTGGACAACTTTTCTGTGGTACTTAGGAAGGAGAAAAATAATCATTACCTTAATAATAACAATTTAAATAGATTTATTCAACTGAAACAATAACATTCCAGCATATGTGATTTGCTTAAAAAAATCCATGTTTGGTAACTAATTTGGCTAAACAAAAATATATATATTTTAAGAAACTTAGACTGTCAGCCCCTCCCCCTCACACTTAGTTTCACTTTCTTCTTGTGCAGATCTATTCCACTCCAAACAATCAGAAAAATATTGTTTCTATTCTATTCACTGAACTTCTTGAAACTTAGCACTGAAGGGGTTGATTCTGTATTCATAGGTTTGTAGAAGTTAGGATGAAGGTCTTTTTCTTAACTCTGTTCATGTTATAACATTTTTGCTGTGAAGAAGAGGCATGTGATCTCCGCTGAGTCAAATTCAGTTTTGAGAACTGCAAAAGTAAACCAATCATCTGTGATAATATCTTGTAGGCAGAGAAACTGCCCAATAATCTTACAAAAACCTCTGGAAGAGCATGACATTGTGAATGGATTCATGGAATTTATTTACCAAAAAAATTAAACATATACAGCCTTATTCTACATAAATAAAAAACGAATCTTTATTTTATGATGGAATAACGTTTGGATGGTAATATATTTTCCTCAAAAAGCATTTTATTTAAAAAAATCCGATTTAAATTAAAAAAAATCCGAATTTTTTTTTTTTTTTTTTTTTTTAAAAATCATTGATTTTTATCCACCCTGGTTTTAATACATATTAGAAATTAATAGCGTGTTGCAGTTCATTGTGCATTGCTAGACAGACTGTTCTGGCCTCCACACAATTTATATAGATGAATAGAGCTGTCATTGAGACATTTCATACATACATGGAGAACAATAAATAGGTGCTGCTTATCGATCATTTAAACAAGCCCATAGTTGAACTATAGTCATAACAGTGCTGGTATGAAGATGTGCATTACTTCATGCAAAATAAATTCTCTAACAGTAAAACTGAGCATTTGATAATGGTGGCTTCAGGCAGGCAAGTCTCAAATGTATCCCTTTTAGGTGGATAGGCCTTTTAAAGACTTGCGAGAAGGATTTGGAACATTCCATTGTGTTTTGCCTGTCATTACTGTTTGTACTTCCTATACTTCAAGTAGATTGCAACTACTGTTATTTAATAAAACCCATCTCATTATGAAATAGCAGTAGCAGATGTTTCGCCTTATGTCCCGTAGTTTTGTGATTTACAGATGACTAATACATTAATACCAGTAGACAGGTACATACAGTGGAAGACGTTCACGAACAATCCGCCTCTGATTAAACACAATACTCAGAATATTTTTGTGTCATTTAAAGTGGAACTAAAACCCTCCTATCGTTTACAGCCAAGGAAGCTGCCATCTTGGCCTCTGTTTGATCTGCAGTTGCCATGGTGCTGCACATATGATCAGTTATTAATGTAAAAAGAACATGCAGCGCTAATTGAGTTCAATCATACATGCATAAATATAGATGGTGCATAATAAAACGGTATTGTGAACACCACTAGATGATAAACTGTCTAAACGTTCACAGATAGTAATAGCAATAAATCTCTCCAACGAGAGTGTTCTTGTGGTGAATAGTGCAAAATTTCAAGGTGAAGTGGTGAAAAAAATAGGTGACTTCCGTGACCATATTCATCCCACCGAGATGAGTGTAGATTGCACTAACCAGAAAGCGCAATGGTATTGCGCATTTGAGTGTTAACCAACTCCTGGTCATCCGCCTACTAAAACTGGATCACTGGGAGGGTCATCAGGCTTGCGTCAGCTGGGCAAAGTATCACAACCTCAGGATCTCCAGGTGTCAGGGGGTGTGCACTCGTCTCACCAGCAGGGGGAGATTAACCATTCCTGATGTGGCCACCAGATGATCCCAACAAGCCTTGAAGAGGGGGGGGCTCGGAAGTAACGAGCCAGAGCAACAAAAAGATCTAATAGTGTAGTACTTTATTATCCACAGGGGTAAATTGAAACAAAGCAATAGAATATACTACTCACATGCAGTAGTAAGCAGCTGCTGACAAAAAAATCCAAACAATGGCTGCCGGCCGTCCACAGGGGCCGTGCGGTGTGACGTCACAGGGTATGAGGCAACTCTCTAACGCGTTTCGTGCGCTTGCACGTTTTCAAAGGGCAAGTTGATGATCAGTTATTACACCAGCCATTTGATGGCTTGACATTTTGTTTGAGAGCACAAGCAACTGTTGGTTATCATTGATGGCATGCCTTGAATGGAACTGTTTTGGGAAACCATTAAAGCGAACTAAAGTCTCCAATTAAAAAAACGGTGAGCGGGCAGGTACTTTATTGCAGAAGAGATTTGCAATGCCTCTTCAGCAATAAAAAAAAAAAAAGCCTACCTGCCTGTTGGCAGTCTTCTTTAGAATGTTCTTTCCGGCACAATGTGTTGGGATGATGTGTGTCGGGAGGAATGAAATTCTGCACATGTGCAGGAGCAACCTTATCCCATTCCCACTCAAGACGTTGCTGGCGAGGGACCTCAGACCATTGAAGCAGAGGTAAGTATTGTGGACTTTAGTTCAGCTTTAACAAGATGGGTTTAGTTTCCCCTTAAGAGGCATGGCAAAGGTTCAGAGTAACCCAAAGTAAGATATCTTCAGTTTTACGATTTTCAGATCACAGACAAAATATGATTGCCTTCCATGGGACACTTCACCACCCTTCTGTGCATACTAATTGCCATTTTGAATCATGGAATATGGAAGAGGGGGTAGGATGGAGGTAACTGATATGGACCGCAGCTTCAACAATATAGCAGGTTTATTAACTAAAGGCAAATAGATTGTGCACTTTGCAATTTAGTTACTTCAATAAATGAGATGAGGCTTCACTTTGCAAAGAATACCCAATTACATGCAAGGAAAATAAAAATAATGAATTTTTGCTTACATATGATTGTATGATGGAAGTCCGTAGAGATTCCCCTTATTTACTAAGCTCTGGAGCAACTGCGCCAGCAAAGTGCACAGTCTTCCGTTAAGCCCATACACACAATGAGAATATCGGACGAATGATTGTCTTTTTTTTTTTTTCTTTTTGCATGCTAGTCTCATATCGAAAGTGAAGAGGTTACTAAAGTTATGAAAATTCTTATACAACACAATACAAATTCTGAAGTATTGTATTTGAATACTATTTTCGGATGACAAATGTGCTAATAAAATT